CAGGAGGTTGCTGTGTACCTTGAGGCTTCGATGGTCCAGGATCAGCAGGCTTGACTGGTGAAGATTCCACAGCCTGTGCATGTGGGCCAAGGTCAACCTTGTACAAAAACAATGTGAGCATGCTAGGCACACAAGCGCCTTTCATAGCAAACAAAAAAAATGTATGTGATCACATTTAATCAAAGAACAGTTTCCCTCCCATCTGGTTTGGGAAGGCTTTTTTTCTTTCTCTTCTTTGGCTTGGGTTGCATGGATTCCTCTGTATCTTCTGGCTCATGCTTTGGTGCCACCGGTTCTTCTGGTAGTCGCACTCCATCTGGTGAAGGCGGTTCCTCAATGAAAAAATCATCAATGTGTCTTGTAAGCCTGGAATTGCTTAAGTGCAAACATCATCAGCCTGTAATGGCTTAATTGCATTTGCTTGTAGTAGCTTGATTGCAGCAGCCTGTAGTGGCTTAAAGACATCAGCCTGTAATGGCTTTATTGCATGAGCCTGTATTGGCTGTCTGAAATAGACAGTTTTGTTTGGTTAGTTTGCTAAGCCCTGGACTGTGCCTCCTCCCCAGTCAGGTGACCAAGTGTCCCAGTACTGCTGGGTCTTCATTGGTTCCTCCTGCAGACAACACACACACGCACTTGCACTTTGCTTGGTTATGTGGTAAACAGTCAGATGGCTTCAGTGAAGGCTTTGTCACAAATGAGCAATTGAAAAACACAACTCTAAATATAACAATGCAAGCCACTCCTGGTGAGAGTGCTTTGGTGGCACACTGATCCCCTCCTGGTCAGCTGCCTTGGATGAGGCATGTATTGCTATGTTGGCTGAAACTAGCAAACTTGTTTGGAGAAATAAAAAAGCCAGGATACAAACAGAACATTGGCTTGCTCTTGCCACACCTGACACAAGGCCTGCCGCTACAAAAGCAACAGCTGGATCCTATATACAATATATGTGAAGCCTTCATTGGCTGTGAACTTAATGGCATTATCACTGGGCATGAGCCTGCATAGGCCAAGCGTGAGCCTGTATAGGCCAAGCATGAGCCTGCGTAGGCCAAGCATGAGCCTGCGTAGGCTAAGCATGGGCCTGCGTTGGCCAAAAGCATCAGCCTGCATAGGCTAAACGTACACACATGTAGCTTGTTTTTTCACTTAGGCCAGCTGTCCAGCTCAGTCATTCTGAACTGTCATCACTCTGGCTTTTTTGCTAAAGTTGCCAGACTTATTGTAATTTCGCCTCTTCTGGCTCAGACAATTCCCAATGTCTTGCATGATCCACTCACATACCAATGTCAAAGGGCCAGGCTCCAAAGGTACAAGTATCACCTCCTTCCAGCTGCTTGGTGTCTTGAAGGTCACACATGCATCACCCAGCATGACATCCACTGTGCCAGGGGCTGTACGCAACATCTTGTTTTTGGTTGGCTTGCCCTTTTCCAGGGATAGCAAATCAACATATTGTCAGCTACGAAGGTTGCCACTTTGAACCAGCTCTTTGGTGCCTAGCAGCTCAGCCTCTAAAATAGCTACAAGACACTTCTCTTCATTGGTTGCAGGACGAACCTGTTCAGGGGCGCTCCAAGAGCCTTCAATGCAGAGCGGCTCAACAGGGGCGGGGCATCACCGCGAATGATCGCGGCACGAACCACGCCCTGTTGGTTGGCAAGCGCCGCAGGCAGCTGGATGGATAAGGTCGATGTTTCAACCTCCCCATTGCCGAACTTAAGAATTGATGAACTTCAGAAAATGGTTGTGACGTGGAGGAACCCATCTCTTCTGAATCCAAAGGTGCTTGAAGGCTTTGAGGGTCTCAGCACCAATGATAGTTCGGCCACATCCAGAGTCCAGCACGCCAAAGCCCGGCGAAGAAACCAGCAACATCTCCTCGGTCTGGCCAAGTGAGGGAGCGGGCATCGCCTGAAGGCGTCGGGCTCGTAACTTGTCCAGCAAGGACGGTGTGTCCAAGACGGAGGCAACAAAGGCTAGGGGATGGCTGTTGCTGCACCGGGCGGGCCTCTCCGAAGAGATGAAGGCAGTGGTCATTGCCCGTGCACGTGGAGATTTGAAAAGAGAGTCTGTCTCTGCTGCGCTCAGGTCTTGCTACCCCGACCTGGTGATATCCCGCAAGCGGACTGGCATAGCTCTTGCAGAGGCTTTCGATGAAGCCCCCGACGAACCCGGGGAACGTTGGGATGAAGGGTTTTCTGACGTGGGACACTTCATCGAGGAGCATCAACCTGAAGTGGACTATGCTGGAGACAATGAACCATTCCCAGAGTCTGAAGTAGCGGAAGTGTTGGCCGCCACCTGGAAAGAGAAACGACAAGAACTGAATCGTTTGCAGAAGACCCGTCAATTCCAGAAGGCCAAGGATGTGAAGCGCTCCTTCCGGGTTGAGATCGAAGAGATGAAGCGCAACTCGACCTGCAACAAGTGCGGCCGAAAAGGCCACTGGGCTCGTGAACGCCGTTCCAAGGATGGCAAGGGCACATCAAAAGGCCGAGGAACCAGTTCCTCCTCTGCTCCATCTGGTGCAGCCGCTGTCCACGAGCTCGAACAGCTCAGAGGCGCGGGCCGACCATTGCTTCATGGTTTCGGCCTCATTGGACTTCAGGCTGAATATCTCGCCGAGCTCATCAACAGTCTCGTGCTGAGGGAAGCGTTTGTCCAGGATGCTCCAAAGGACATCATCGCCGCCCTTCTTCTGATAGCTCTCAGGGTCGACGCGCTCAACAGCTTCCAGCACTTTGCCACTCAACAATGTGTAGATATAAGCTCCATAGGAACCTTCAGCCAATTTATCCAATGTCAACAGTTTGTTCTTCACCCATTGCTTCCACCGCTTGTACTCACGACCGTCCTCGGTCTCACCAGAGAAAAATCTGAGCCTTCGGAGGTGGACGAAGATGCATGTGCAAGGACCTTCACCTAAAGGTCAACAATCCATGCTCGGAGCCTGACACTTTAGCGGAAACTCTCCATCCCCTGAGGGCGCGCAGCGGGCTTTTCCTTGTGCCACGAAAATCCCTCGGGTGACGACGTGCATGCCATGTGCAGCGTCAAGATATATATATATATATATCATTGCGAGCTTATCGCGGCCCGCTATTTCTCGATCAGCCAGCCAGCCGGCCGGCCGGCCGAGATCCACGGTCCAGCCGGCCGGCCGGCGGGCTACTACCACTACCACTACTACTACTACTACCACTACTACCACTACTACCACTACTACCACTACTACCACTACTACCACTACTACCACTACTACTACTACTACTACTAATACTACTAGTACTACTACTACTAGTACTACTACTACTACTACTACTACTACTAGTACTACTAATACTACTAGTACTACTACTACTACTACTAGTAGTACTACTACTACTACTACGACTACGACTACGACTATTTTACGACTACGACTACTACTACTACCACTACTACCACTACTACTACTACTACCACCACTACTACTACTACCACCACTACTACTACGACTACTACTACTACTACGACTACTACTACTACTACTACTAGTACATGGCCGGCCGGCCGGCCGGCCGCTATGGCCAGCCAGCCGGCCGGCCGATCCAGGGTTTGCGGAAGAAACCGCTACTACCACTACCACTACTACTACCACTACTACTACCACTACTACTACTACCACTACTACTACTACTACTACGACTACTACCACCACCACCACCACCACCACCACTACTACTACTACTACAACATGGCCGGCCAGCCGGCCGGCCGCTATGGCCGGCTGCCGGCGAAATAGCAGGCCGGGTTGCCCGCGCTGTCTACATATATACATAGATATATACACAATGACATATATAATTTGTTGTTTCCTCGGTATTGGGTTTTATAGCCCCAAGAATGACAGGGGACGCCCTAAAAACGATACCCCACAACGATACCCACCCCAAAAATAAACGATAGGGGATGCCCTAACTTACTTATGAATACAGCCTATATCTGTATATATATATATATGTGCATGCACACACATACCGCACCCTAGAAGTCCAAAGACTATTTTTGGCACCACCCGAGTAAAAGAAATTCCCCTCTGGGTCATCCAAAGACAATTCTTAATGTAGTCTTTGACTTACAGGGTATCTATGGGTATCTATATATGATGCAGGATGCAATTTTGGAGCACCAGCGAATGTGTTTCTCATTTCAAGGAGTGGGGCAGAATCAGATCAGTCCGCTGTTAGAGCACAAAGTTGATGATTTTTGAGTGTTTGAGAATCGGTTGGTTTTTTCCCGAGATAAACAAATCAGGGTGTTATCTACTAAGCAGGGTCTACTAAGCAGAGACACTGACAGTTTTTGGAGCGTGCACCTGTCACCCGTGCGGAGATCAGTCGAAGGGTCGAGTCGGTCGAAGGGTCGAAGTGGGTCGCGGCCTGGCCATGCACCGAGTTTTGCTGCGGCCGGCGTGAAAAGAGAAGGGCGCTGCCACCATATGGGCAGAGCTGCAGAGCTGCAGAAAAAACTTTCACACCCAAAAAGAAGCAGGACATGTCGACATCACGAAGACCTGACCAAGTTTCAAGTCTAGCACGAAGTCGATCTGGTTGTGTATTTAAATAGGGAGACCTCCCAAAGACCCCCCGGAAGAAGAAACATAGACCAGTCTACCCATTGGTTTTTGTGTCCTCCCTACTAAAAGTAAACACCCATATTGATGGCACAGTGTTGAGAGAATTACTAAATGAACTTGTGCAGTGTGACACCATCAACCTCCGCTGGTGTAGTTAAAGGAACAGCGCACAGAGGAATCACTCGTACCTAGATGGCCGTGGAGCAAAACGAAAACGACGCAGAAAGCAGCGCAAACATAGGACAGAGTTTGGTAGCATTTACAACTAGAAATGGATTTTGCAGATTGCTTTACACACATTGGAAAGAGTTTGGTAGTTGTTCGCCATCTTTTTTTGCGGTGAGTGATGGCCCCTCCGAACGCCGCTTTGATCAGGATGCCGGTGCCAACGACGAAGCGGAGTGCGTCAAAGAGGTGCTTCCTCAGATGGGCAATTTTGAGGTGACTGGACATGAACAGATACGGGTATGCTATGGCCAGCTATGGGTTGGGTCTGTCGTATTACAGGGAACAGTCGGTAAACAATCAAAGATCACTATTTGAACAAGGCCTGGTACCTAACGATCATCATCTGCTGTTGCTAGTAGGATAGACCCAACAGAAAACGAACAGAAGAAAGGTCAACCTACCTGGGTGAAACGGTCTTCAGGTTTTGACCCACAGCCTCAAATATATATATATATACATACCTGGACCTTCAAAGGGGTGTCCAATGGAGATCCCCAGGTAGTGTAGGGGCTTCCATTGGTGACCCCTTTGAAGGTGCTGGTATGGATATGTATCAAAAATCAAAGACCCAAGAACCTCCCCGGCTCAGCAAACTGTCGTTTCTAGTGATGACTCTTTTTGTTACCTATCATGCCAACATGTGAGCTATTAATTAATTAAGCAGATCAGGTGGAACTCAGTTGAATGGTGGAGTTGGAAGGGGGTGGGGGTGGGATGCCAAGTCAACCAGCTTTGTTTAGAGATTGACTGATTCATTTGCGCCAGGAGAAAAGTGAAGAAGAATGCCCAGCTGCTGGCTCCTTACTCTCCGACTCACCGGTCCGTGGATGTGGCAACTCCCCTGTTCGCAAACGCAGAGCAAAGCGCAGAGCAACACGCTCTTCCGAATGTTCCACTTGCCATGTGAGTGATGAAGCAGAGTGTCATGATTTTTCTTCTGAGTGGACTCTTGGACACTGGATAGAGTGTCATGAACGAACATCTCGCCTGTTCTGAAACACACACCTGACTTAGATGGAGTTTGGCTTGCATTATGTGGACCAGTGGAAGAACCTCATTCCGAAAGAAGCACTTGGACACCTCGCAACTCACATTAGTTCATTGATAAAGACTCCTCCTTGAACCCATCCTTTCAGGGTGCTGCAGCTGCTTTGGAAGCTGAGCAAGAGGTGGGGGCAGAGGGTGGGTGGGACTTGGGTGACGTTTCTCAAACATGGCCGTGTCTCAAAATGAGGAGACATCACCCAAGCACCCTTTTCAGATTCCTTTATTGTCGCAACAAACCGAATGGATGGGGAAGAAATTCTGCACCACCCCAGGCCCTTTTCCCCCTCCTCCCCCCTCGAGGTCTTTGTGTCCGTTTCTAGTGTCATTTTGACCTTTGCTACCACAGGCACTCATTACAACTATAGAACAGGTCGCTCAAGCCCAACACAGCTGTTCTACGACTGCAGCAAGGTGTTACTGTTAAATGCCTATAGCTTTCGTCCCCCGACTTGCACTCATTCTACAAGCAGGGAGGGTGGTCTTTCGTGCGCCTTTGGTCCCTTAAAGCGCAGCGGATCGAGCTCTGAGGCGCAGCGGATGAGACTCTTCAGATGTCCCTTCGCGGAGGCGGCTCTCGCCGGTTTCCGTCGGAAGGGCGGGCGGGGCGGGCGAATTCGTATGAAGGCAGGACAGCTGGAGGTTTTTGGTTGCTACGGCGCTACGTATTTACTCATCCCTTTGGGAGGTTTTTGAGGAAGCATGGGGCCATATGGGCCCCCAAGAGTCTTTTGTAGACATCAGGTTGATCCTGATTCCTACATAGAACCACCACTCAGCTGTATACAGCTGCCAGCTTGGAGGACAACAGGTCGTGTTCACTTACGAACAGTTGGGAAACCGAACTGGGTCTCATCAAGTCTCATCTTCCGTCGACAAGCCAAATCCTCAAGGGACGGGTTCCTCGGGTCAAGATGCCTTCGGAAGCCTTCAGGTGTAAGTAGAGGGAGATACTGTGATAAAAATCTATTTTAAGTGCGCTTTGTACATGTTACGCAGTTGCTATATAATACTATATATAATAATATATATATATATGTATTATTATGTATATGTATATGTATATGTATATGTATATATATATGTATCTAGCCCAGCCCCGAGCCCCTACCTACCGATATTCTAAGAAAGAGACTATTCGACACACACACACACAGACAGACACACACACACACACACTCAGACACACACGCACCGTATATAGGCCCCCGATAGCTTCACTCCGTGTATCGATAGATGGGACCCCGCTTGTGACATGCCCCCCTCCAGCATGGCTTTCCTGACCGCTCCTGACCGCTCCTGCCTGGAAGCCGCTTCCTGTGCCCCGCCTCCAAAACACGCCCTCACAGGCGGTGGACCTTACATACGTGAAGCGCGACAGGCGCGGTTGGTGGAGAGTTGGATGAATGAATGGATGGAGTCATACTGTCTGGATGGATGTGTGGTCTGGACTCTGGACAAATGTTTGCCGCACCAAGAAATTCATCAGCACTGGCTTGCCTTTTGCGGGAGAGAGAGAGAGAGAGACTGCATTGAGCAGGGACCCCGTCAAAAATTATTCTTTCCAGGCTTGGACCTGTCGCGGCCCTGGGACTCTAGTCCTGGGACTCTTTTTTATGGTGCGGGAACCATTGATCAATATGAGTGGTAGGCAAATGTAGGCAAGCGGCAAGTTTCATGGCCATTTCCAGCAGTCTCCACGGGCGGTTGGGAAGATCCTCAATCTGACGCCGTTGTTTTCCGCAAGAACCATCGGTTCACCACGTTGTTCACAGGGATGGTTTTTCCCGCCCCCCCAAAACACCTGATTTCTCCACGGGCTGTTCAAGGCAGTTTCCCTACAGCAGCGATCCGGACGACCAGATCCTCAGACTTGGACGGAGGCGCAAGCGAACGAACTCGCGAGCGATGCCTTCCGCGCGGGTCGCTCCGGGGCGGTCTCGGTTGGGAGTGGAAGGTCGCCCGTGGTCTGGTATCCCAGAAGGTTGACTCTTGATTCATAACCCCCCCCCGTTTTTGAATTGAACGACCTCTTCATTTGGGGTGGTTTAGTCATCATGGGTTGGTTTGTGTGAGGAATTCAAGGTTTTGAGGAGTTCGTCTGGGAGGAACTCAACAAACAGAAGACTGATGAAGAGTGGTTTGAAGTATTTCCAGAGGTTTTTTCGAGTGTCTAAATAGCCAAGTGGGTACCCATCTTGACCATTGACAAGCATGGAACACAGGGATGTCTTGATGATTCTTGGAAGAGAGCTTCAAACAACGCTTTTCCTCTGTCTTGCTCTCCAGACTGGTGTTGACCGGGTTCAACTGTCGCGGTTCTATGCTCACCGGTCACGCGTTCGTCCAAACGTCAACACGGAGGCAGCTCCGAAGCTTCATCGGCGAGGTCTATACCGCAAAACGCCTCTTGGGTCTTCCATGGTCGACCCATATCATAGGTCCGGGGGAGGTTCGAGTGTTTGACATCGATTCACAGAGAGTTGAATCTTCAACAAACCCAGCTTTGATGTTTTGTTTCTTTTTTGTGTTTCAAAATCATTGAAGGTTTTGGGACTCCAAGCCCGTCCCATCAAAGAAATGTTATCCCTTTTCTTTCTACTCAAAAGATTGTTTGGCTTGGGACGCCTCAAAGGTTTCCAGGAGCATGCGAACTCGCTCACAGAACATGTCATCCAATTGTTGTGATTTGAGACTCGGTGGTTGGCTTTGGTTCACTCGAAGAACATCTATGTAAGTGTCACACCCCAGTTGACACTTAGGGCATGTGCATTCAATTTCCCAATCATCGCGATGGTGTTTTGGTACCTTTGCTTTCGTCCTTTGGGACGTCTCCATCAATCCCCTTTCCCAGGTCCGGTGCAGAGAACACATCGGTTTTGAAGCCTTCAGAGGGCGGGACGGTCCCGACCGACGGGTCGAGGCCTGGAAGATCGCCGACGGGAGAAGGCGGCCCAACCCAGACGAGCTCTCCATTTCATCATGCAGGAGGGGGAGGGAAGGGGGTGATGGTCAGTCTTTGACCTAAACAATGTGGTTTGAACCAGGTATGTATTTTTCATTCTTTTTTCTCAGGTCTGGGAACACACATATATTTAAGTTCTCCTACAGTGGGCTTGAAGGTTGGATACTGAGCTTGCACTTGGGAACACCCGGTTGCTTGTGCTTCATCGTTTGAGAGCGTCCAGGAGATGTTGCGACGACAGCATGGGGTGAAATGCCTCGTGCACCAGAGGTCCTGGCAGCGCCTCGGCAGCATCTCGAAGCTCGTCCGGCGCGCGCGTGCGCTTGGCCGATGAAGACGGCGACCATCGGTTGGAGGCCGCTGCCCCGGAGGTGGTGTCATGCAAGTGACATCCGGTAGCTTGTTGTGTTCAGGGCTGACGTCAGGTTATTGGACCCCTCGTTCCTGAATATGACATGACGCCTTTTTCTTTGTAAGACTTTGTCTTGGCATTATGCAACACGAAGAAGTTGCCCCAATTTCCGTAGGTGGTCTGAATGAGTTAGAGACAAGTGCTGGCTTGATTCTGGGACGAAGTGATGAATCCTTCCGACATGTTTTTGGTCGGCTGACATAATATTCTTTTCATTTAGGATAGCAACCCCCACTAGATGGGACATTTGTCAGCTTCATGCCCAATATTCAAGACAGTGTATTTTATTCTTAGCCTATTCTTCGACAGTGGTTTCCAATTGTCATTTCAACATCACAAGAACAGTTCTAAACCTCCCTAATTGCAGGAGAAACATGGAAGAACCTCACTACGTGTGATCGGACCCACGTTTTTCTCCATGTTCTTCGGAGCTCGCCCACGACCTCCGCCCAGCTCGGCTCTGCACCACCCTCGAAGAGAGGAGATCGCACGTCCAAGGATTCTGGAGGCCGTTGCCGAGCATGCATCCGAGGCCGGCTGGGTCGCCTGAGGGGTGGGGGATGGGGTGAAGCATCACCATGAGGTGATGCGAAGCATCCCAAACCTCTCATGGTGGACCAAGGATGCTAAGGGGGAGGAGAAGAGTTGATGGTTTCAAGCTGCTTCAGACTGTAAAGGTTCATGACTCACTTGCTTTTCTTCCTGGTTTGAAAGCATTCCAATGAGAGCTTCCAGACCCTTTGACCGGTACAGGGCTGGTCGCCCTTTCGTGCCGTGCGCGCCTTGCTCACCTCACGGCTGTCCGTCCGCAGGACGTCACGGTGGGCCTCTTCGCAGACTTCTTGGATGGCACCCGAGATCTCGATGAGCTCGGGCCGCGGGACGGAGGAGCGGGAGGGTGACAGGTGACACCAGGTCGACATGAAGCCCGTGACTCAGGGTGGTGGTGGTGGTGGTGGTGGTGGTGCGGCCTGGTGGCCTGATCAGAAAAGGCTCTCCTCGGTGCAAGATGATTTCCCACAGACTTCCACAAGCCAATGGTCTGCTCGGGCGTTTTGGGGTCACCGAACCTTACTGTCTCTGTGTGAACCTGTGTTAGCACACATGAGTGGCACACAGTCGGCTATGAACATTGACATTTTGTCATATTTTGTCATGCTTCATTATTTAACCCAGCTGGCAACCCCAGTGGCAAAGCATCCACCACCAAAATAATGTGTTTTTCTGCGTGTTGTTCATTGCGTTGTTCTTTCACATATCGAATATTGGAAAACAAAGACATGTAGTATATATATATATATATATTGATATGCAATAACATAGTTTATACACAAATTGGTACACAAAGTTACAAAAACCGGTTCAATATCCAAGCCAAATGTACGTTCCGGGTGTTCGACGACGAAGCACGTAAGGAATGTGTGCGTCGAACTCTATGTTCAAGTGCCTTCGCATAGTTTGCACATGTGAAGAGCCATTTCAATACAGTAGCACAAGAGATTCACACCAAGACAAGACATTCGGAAAGACAACATTTTCTTCTGCGCCAAAATTGAGGTCAACGATAGAAGGTGGGAGGACATTAAACTAAACTCGTTTTGGCTTACCCTACAGGTATCACATGGGAATCCAACAGACCACCTTTGAACGGGATTTTTTGTGTTCAGCATCCAAGCAGAGGTTCCCCACACGAGCTTGGCCGTGGCCGGCACGAACTCACCAGCAGTTCCAGGGAACTCAGCGAGACCAGACTTGCCGAGGCTGTCCTTCTACCTCTACTGTTCCGGGCTGGTCTCGGCAGTGCCTGAGGAACCCCAGGCAAACATACCGCCCTCGAGGCTGCCCATGGGCTTGGTGGGGGAGCTCGGACTTGGGACCTTGGACTTGTGGCTACTCTTCCATGGGGAGTTTCAACCATTGCTTGGTGGTAAGTAGTAAAGAAGGAAGCTAGCCTCCAAGGGTGGTCTTCTTTTGGGGAGAAGCATCAAGAATTCAGGGTTCGGCGGGTCAGAACACCCCTTTTCAGGGTCCCCTTCAGATCCTTTCAGTCGGAACCTGGAAAAACACATCTCCCCGACTCTCCTTTGCTCCATCCTTCCACAGCCTCCAGCCAGTCCCGTCTCCACCGTCGTCCCTCGCCTCCCTCCCTCGCGAGTCCCGTCTCAACCGTCGTCCCCGACCGCGTCGCAGCCGCCGGCGGCGTCGCACGGCGACGCGCCGAGATCAGCGAGTCACGGTGCCTTCGACTAGTGGAGTTGCTCTTCTCGGACCTGCCGAAGGCATCCGCGATTGGGCGCCCCGTCGAGCTCCGAAAAAGAAGCCGGGTGGGAAACCAGGCTGCGGTGTGCAGGTCGGGCGAGGGTGCGGAGTGGAGTTCAGGTGGGAGGGGGGGGGACTAGGAAATTTGATGAAATTGGGTGGTATATATATATATATAAGTTGCTACTCGTAGTGGGTGGTGTTTGGGTCGGTGATGGTGATGTTTGCAATGCCTTTTTGGCGATGTGGCTGGGGAAAAGGCTGTGGGGTGGATGTTGTGTTCTCAGTGCAGATTAGGCCATGATCAATTACAGTCATAGACAGTCGAAGTCAGAAGTGCTCCGTGACGTGCCTCATTTGTGCTCCGTGCGGCAAGAGACTATTCCGACACTCAACATACTCAGCTGAGCCTGGATCAGAACCAACCGAGGATTTTATCCGGTAGAGGGACAGAAACACTTTGTTTATTACACACTCAGTCACAGGGTTTTCAGTATCATAATCCACAAGGAAAGGAATGCACGAACGGAAAGATCGCGGGTCAGTCAACTTGTAGATGTTTTAGCAAAGTGTTGCAAAAGCGCTCAGCGAGAGGTCGGCAGTCTGCAGCTGCAATGCAGAGGGAAACCTGTTTGGGGGAGTAGCATGAGAAAACCGCCATGAAAGCAAGCCGAGAGTGGAACAGCGTGATCAACAGATCAGGGTGCAGGTACGTCAGCAAGCGTCCTTGCTGATATCAGCACAACCTGAAGAGCCTCTTTGTTAGATGCCCTCTCTTCAGGTGTGGGGCATCCCCTGCTCTATCATTGGGAAGAAAAAGGGAAAGTGGACAGTCGTAGAACAAACTTCTACAGACGGAGGGTGACACACACACAAAACGCCCCTTCTCGGCGCTTACTGCAAGGCGGATCTTTTGCCTTTCAAAAAGCGTTTGCACTCTGCTGTGGAATGCTCTTTGGCGATCTCTGTCAGGGGGAACAATGGGTGAAACAAATCAAGCCAAAACCAGAATCCAAAGAGTGCAGTAACGAGAATTCGATATGTGATACACGATGGCTTCAGCGCCTCTCTTGCGAGAGGATCACACTGTGTACCCAGTGGCAAGACACAGCGATACACACTTAGTCACAGGGTTTTCAGTATCATAACCCACAAGGAAAGGAATGCTCGAACGGAAAGATCGCTGTGTCAGTCAACTTGTAGATGTTTTAACACAGTGATATCAGCACAACCTGAAGAGCCTCTTTGTTAGATGCGCTCTCTCTTCAGGTGTGGGGCATCCCCCTGCTCTATCATTGGGAAGAAAAAGGGACAGTTGACAGTCGTAGAACAAACTAGAGACGGAGGGTGACACACAAACACACCCCCGCATACAGAGAGATGTTTCTCACGTGGACCATGCTAAAGCATGCTACCGCTGTCCCTTGTGCTCGCGAACCCGCAGGCCAAAGCTGTCGTGAAGGAAGAAATCGAGAAGCAGGCCACGGACTCTTTGCAAATACAGCTTGCAGATGCTTGCAGTATCCTCACTTGGCGTTCTATGATGGGACCTTTCCAGGCAATGGCTTTCAAAGGATTACAAGATGATCTTTTGAGGTGTTTCAGGAATCACAAGTCCTCTCAATCTAGATCTCCAGGCCCTTCAACATATCATTGGAGGTTCTTCTCCAAGAAACGTTTGGTTCCACAGACACATTCCCTCCTCTCTCCCCAAGTGAGTTCAGATTCTTAGCCGAGCTGCTTGCATACCCTTCCGAACTCTGAACAGTGTGCCCAATGGTGCCCGTCCGCCTTTACTTGACGTGTCTAGGAGGGGATGAACATCAACCAATACACTGTATATCAATTGATATCCGATCCAAGATCGAGCACAAGCGGGCAAACTCATACCCCTCGACACAGATCCTTCGCTGGCCACCGCGCGAGCCTGCAGTTGGGCAGTCGACTGGTGGAGAACTCCTATGAGGAGTCGAAAGGGAGATCTACAAAGGCTGAACAATGAAGTGGATATGGGTCAAGACCCGGAGACCCTGGTTGAACTGAACCCTGTTGAACTGAACCATATGGATTGCCGTCAACCTTACTTTGTTTTTGGGCTCCTCGCTCGCTGCAGAGAGGGATTCCACGATTGCATGAATTCCAAGACGGAATATACTGTAAGCAAAACCATGATATATATATATATAAACTCCTGATCCGCGAAAACCACAGCTTACCGCAGATGCTCATTGCCTTGACACCCTTTGAGAGGTTTGTAGCCATGTTCATTGAGTGAGGATCATTGGCTTCAAACCACTCAAGGGCGATGCTGCCCTATTCTGCGCCTCCAGAACCAAGGAGCTCAGCTACATGGCCGAAGCCGACGGCATCGAAGCCGACGCACTGTCCCCACCTTGGGCACCGACGCGTCCCGCGTCCCGCGTCCCGCGCCGTGGACGTCGGGTCATCGGGACGTTCGCCGAGGGCTGGGGGCTCATTGGAGGGTTTGGGGCGGTACAGGGTTTTGGGCCGATGTGGCCGATTCGCCCCCATGAATCCAAGATGATCCCAGCATTCATGGACTCAGATGGACTCCTCTGATGAGCTTTTTGGATCGCAGGTCACTCACTGTTGGAATCCCTGCTGTGTTCAACGCCCCCCCCGACGCTCCGCGCTGTCGCCACGTTTGCAGAGCGACCGCTCCGCGTCAAGACGCGCTGCGCATGTCGACTGGTCGCGAGTCTCCGAGACGGTCGCTCGATTGGAGGGGGGACCGAGACCCGCGGTGGGCTGAGGTGTTATGCTTTGCTGGAAGGTTGGCGATTGATGTGACCTCAGAACGTGAGGTTGTGGCGTGCAACTAAAGACGGGAAAGTTCCAACAAAAAGCGCCCTTGACTCGTGGGGGTGGTTCATGAACTTGAATGCACTTTAGACCTGCAGATATTTGAGGCTGATTTGGAGGTGTTTGCAGAGCCTATGATAGATGATGTTTCAGTCCTTTTCTTTCACAACCCCCTGCACCCCTGAGTACTGTGAGGTGTTGCTTGCTCTTGAGCAAAAGCATGCCGCATTTCAACTGGCCCGGGCCTTAGCAGCGCACCCAGGGTCAATCAGGTCGCCCTTCGGACGTGCGTCGCGTCGGTTTCTGCCTGGGCGCCTCTGCACACCTCGCAGGCGGGACACGGTCTTGGCGTTCATTCAAGCGGATGTCCATGGCCGCGGCTGGTTAGATCCCAACGAGGCGCCGTCGGCCCGGCCGGGGGGGGGTGGATCAAGTACGTCGAAGCGTTTGGCAGGCGCGCTGGGCGGTGGGATCGATGAGTCTGAAAGGACGTGGGTGAGCACCTTTCGATGTGAATTTGTTCACTTTCCAGCTTGGTTTTGAACCAAGGAGCCTTCCCCTTTTTGCGAGAAGTCGGACGAAATGCCTAGAAATCCAGGCACTTGCTGAACCCTCAATATTCATGAGGCTCGAAACTGCCCGCTCAGACGTGCACCTTCAAGAAGGAACGCAAAGAGTTTTCCACCATAGTCATCCCAGCTGTTTTGTTCTTCTCTGGTTTTGGGGAGTGTTCTTTTTCAAAGTTCACGGCCTTGTCAACTTGTCCAACCAACGGCAGGTGACAAAGGTGGATGCTCAGCAAGCTGTGCTCTCGCGCTGCTTGGACTAGCAAGTCGGGAGTCGGGAGAGAAGCGGTGGCCGAACATCCAGACTCTTGGAATCGGCTGAAGCTAGTCCAATCATCGATGGTGGATGATGAGCACCTTCGAACGGGACATTCCACGAAGAAAGAGCGGATCTGAACATGTGCCAACGAACACCAGACACATCCAGGACACGTTTGGTGTAGGGACCGGACGACCACTTGCACTCCGGAACCGCTACGTGGAGTCGAAGGAAGGGCACAGCACCGTGCTGTTGGTGAAACGACGTGCTGCTGGGTCACCCGTTGAACCACTTCCCCACCCCACATGGCCGGTGGAATGCACGGCGGTGGAATGCACGGCAAGGCAGTCGGGAGCTGCTGCCTGTCATGGAACAGACCTCGCGGGGCTCCTGGAAGTGGAACACAGGGAGCCTGGGAGCCGTGGATGGAAGGGAGGAGCGGGTCGTAGACCTAAAAACCAAGAACGCTCTGCTCTTGGGCCTGGGCCTACAAGCTGGTCCCCAAATAGATAGAAATGGTTTTCAAAGCTGTTTGAACGGGGGACCGACTTTTCTATCTTGTTTGGTGGAAATCGTCAATACGGATCAATACGGTACTTTGTGTGTTACTACTTTGAACCGATTCGCCTATTGTTCTTGGTCAGATCAGGGTTACACATTGGACACGGGAGATGGGAGCCCTGCCCGTTAGAGGGCTCCCTTCGCTGATTCGGTCGAAAAGACTCTGGGCGCATCTGCCGAACGACGAAAGAGGGTCAGACGTGAACACTTTGATACTCACCTCCTCCAGGGTCGTCTGCATCCAGGGTCGTCAACACGACGAATGCGAGGGTGGAAGGAACCCTACCCAGACACGACCCATGGGACTGCCATAGGACTGCTGCCGCATTGACTTCCAGTCAACCACCCTTGGCCGGAACTCTCGGCAGTCCGACATGGCAGTCCCAGACGGGTCGTGTCTGGGCTATATATTGTATATATCGCTTCTCCTCCTTCGACGACGAAGCCGAGGTCCTCCGGTCACAACCCTCGACCGAGGCTGGGCGCCTTCGTGTTCCGGATCCTGCAGCACCTGGGGGGCCTCACCGAGGCCGGAGGGAAGCCGGGGGGGGGGTTGGCTTTCGGGTTTGGTTCGTTGAAGCCAAGCGAAAAGGATGGCGGGTGAAGCGGGTGAAGCGGGTGAAGTGACGAGAGAGTCACCAGAGGATCCACAAGCGAAAAAGATGTGAGAAGCTGAGCGAAGACGATGTGAGGAGGGGCATGTGATGACATGGCGGCTTTTGACCGCCATGAGAGGGCAGTTGATGGTGAGAAGACAGCTCCGAGTCAGGGAGGTGTCGTCTGGGGCTTTTTGAGGTCAAGAATGCCTCTTTTTCCTCTATGAAAGATGGGTGCCAGGTGCTTTGCTGGAGTGTTGTTAGGGCTTTTCATGTATGAAACACAGGGCATGCGATGGCAAACGGTTGTGTCCATATTGTGGGAAAAATTGGAAAAAACATACACACAATCACACAGTGTGTGATGCTAGAGTCCGCACTTGGCATGTCCTTGAAGCTTGCAATGTGATCAACGACATGCATTTCACGCACATGCAGCTGCGTCGAAGCTACAAAAGGTATCAACATATGGATCAACCAAATGAACCCACGCCCCCACCAATATCAGAAGCTTGGTTGAGTCTAGACGAGCACTTTAGTTACTAGGACCACTGTCATTGGCTTTCTTGGAGTTGGAAAAAAGGTGACCGCCCTCCTTTCTCGTTCCTCAACATAGTGACCAGGCTCTTTGCTTTGGACCCCAAGTAACTCTCAACAGCCGTCCAGGGAAAAAGACGCTAACAATGCTTGTGCATGCAATTTGCATGCTCGGAATTTTCGCATATGCCTGTTTTGCCACACAGGCATCCCTGAAAGAAGACGTTGTGGCAGAGCTGGACTCTCAGACGGTCTCGGTCCGGACGCTTCCTCCCGAGCCGTAGCACCGTAGCGTCTTCCTGTGCCGTCCAGCGGAGGGCACCTCCCTCTCAAGTCGAAGGAAAGTCGTCTTCCTCTCGGGGGGCCTCATGCGTTTTCCACTTCCACGTGATTGTGATCCTCTTTGTACCTCAGTCCCGTGTTTTTTTCACGAGTCGCGGGTGATGTGAAACCGTTTCGACCATCGCCGGGTGTTTCACCGAACTCGGAACGCGCCCGTCTGACCGGTCTGCACCGAGTGGAATCGGACGAACCGGAAACGACCATTCTCGGAAAAGTCCCTGGAGAAAGATCCCTGGCCCAAGCCCCTTGCAGACGCTCCAGAAGCGCCACCCTCCACACCTGCCGGCTCCGCCCAGTCCACCGCGGCTGATTCCAAACACTGAGAGCTGTCCATTTGCACATCAGTTGCCCTCCCTCACCTTTGAATTGACATTTCTTTGCTATGCTTGATGGGGTGTCCTTCTTTTCTTCCAATGGAGTTTGGAATGCACTTTCTTTGCAATCCTTTGGATTTGATTTCCCTGTCTACAAGGCCAAGGTCAATTTAAGAATCCTGGCTCCTTTGTATTTTCATGGATTTTCATATTCAAGAGTCTCTTTTGGGGGGGTTTCCGCCTCTATGAATTCAAAAGGCAATCTTGTTGGGTAGAAAGCTCGCCCCCTCGGCATCTTGTGCACTTAAATGCATTTGTCACTTGCATTTACCACCCTCGCCAGGGTCCCAATATGTCCTACTAGTTGAAGTGACGTTCTTTGTTCCAACAACTTGGACACTCCGCGACTCCGGTTGGGCCTTTTTTTCGCCCCGCAGTTTTTTTGTTTCCATCTCCAATCTGCGTTCGCTGCCGCTGCAGGATGTCCCATGATTTGGGTCTTGGAAAGAAGGAGCATGAGGTCGGGCCAAGCTGTTCGCTGTTCGCTGTTCAAAGGAGAACGCCCTTGCTTCTTCGACGTGAACTCGGATGGTAAAAGCTGCATGATGCTACCTCTTCAGACCGAAGCCCGCTTACCCGGGGGTTCTGATAGAGATTGATGGATGAAGTACACCATTTGATAGAGAGGGAGACAACCCCTTTAGCCCAGCGAGCCACACGAGAGGTTAGAGGGTCAAATTCTTGTGTGTCACGTTCTGCAGCACTCCAAAGTTGCAGTTGACTGGAGTATGTATCGACTGCATTCTGCCAGGCCTGCTTTCGACTCTGCCGGGTGCTCAGGTGGTGGAAAGAATTGCTCAGAGATTGGGTTGTTATATCTTCCAAGCCACACTCCCAAGTACAACTCAGTTGGCAAGTCTCCTTTCTAACCCCTCATGGCCTAATTATATAGGCCATAAGGATCCCAAAGCAGAGACCACTTGGAGACCCAACCTCCAACCCTGCTGGTTGAGGGACGCTCCCGAGCTCAAGGATTTTCAGAAGACCTCAGAATTCGTCGGGTTGGGTGATTCTGAAGGGGCCATTTTTGTGACTTTTGGGGGATGGATCAAACATGGAGCCTGACCAGCCCACCGTGTAGCGAAGGACCGGCCTTGCACAACTGTTTCCAGTGGATACTTACCAGTGTACTTACCATACTCCTCAGTACCCGGAGCTGAAAGGCTTTTCAGCGCTCAGAGAGGGTCAAGCGCTCTCCGCCCGGGTGTGGGTCAAGGTCACCCTGGTGCCACCGCCATTTCAGACGGTGGGAGTTCTTCCTCCGGTCGTCGCTCCTTTCTGGGCGACTTCCGGCTGGAATGGATCGGCTTTCTGTAGAAACGGGGTCTTCCAGGTGGAGAAGCCCTTTTATTTGGGGATCTAGCCGAGTTGGTGCTCTAGCACTGTGAAGCGTTCTTGAGATGCCCTGTAACATGGCCCGAGAAACATGTGGTTGTAATGTGGGTCTGGGAACACCTGGCACCACAAAGGACCTACCTGGTAGTCTGAAGAGCCTTCAAATTACATCTCCCAACACCCGCTCTAATCAAAAAAGGCTTCGGATGCCCCAACTCTGCACTCCAAGTCTGCCAAATCTGAGGATCTTCCCCCCTCTTCCTTCCACCTCTTCCACCTGCTTCGTGTCCACCCCTTCCTTTCCAAGGTCAGGTGGCCTTCGGCTCACTCGAGCGATCTCTCGGCGTCCGGGGGCCCCGGAATCGGGCTCTTGGCCCGGGCGCTTCGGGCGCCCGGGCGCTTCGGGCGGTTTGGAGCCCCGGATGGCGGCGGTTTGGAGCTGAAGAGTTGGTCCATGGGGTCCGCGCTGTCTGATGTCTGAAGCACTTGTCCGTCCATGTTTCACCCTTCGAGATTCGGAGTCATGTGGAGCCAATGTGGACGCGAGCGAGCTATGTGTGCGACAACAGGATGCGAAGCATGGGTGTTACATGGCTGATGATATAGATCGACATGATGCCCCAGGCAGTCTCAAAGGGTTATTGCAGTTATTGCATGTCCATACATGGCCATCTATTTGCAGAATCACTATAGCATACTATAGCTGCGAGTGCATGTTCATACCTCCAATGGGCCCAACATGTTTGACTTCCATGTGCAGCTGCTTCTGGACTTTTGGTCAGCAAGTATTGATCCAGGTCGTCTCCTTCAAGTGTCTGTGGCCCAAGTGCAGGTCCAGTATACGGCACTCGAATATGCTGGCTCGAACCTATGAACTCTCCGGTTCTACCAGCTGTTGCCCTGCAGTGCCCTGCTGTTCCCCAGTCCAAAGAAATCCCACAGATTCTATCAGATTCTCATTTTGTCCTTGACATTTCAACTTTCGGACCTCCACGCTGATGGGTGCCCAATAGTTCACTCCAACCACCATCACTCGTTCTTGGTGACCTGGTCGATAGGCTCGGAAGACAAACCGCCGCAGGTCTACTTGAAATGGCTCCTTCACAGCGAAGAGCCTCGAGACCGTTCAGTGTCCGTCCCCCAAGCACCCAACGACGGCGGAGAGGTCCGGTTCGGTCGGATGACGCGGAGAACGAACGGAGAACGGTCGGATGGCAGGAGCCTCGACGTCAGGGTAGGTGGACCTCCCTGTAGGTCGTCCATTCTGTTTCCATTGATGAAATTATAACCACTTAGCATCAGATCTCTCATGGTTTTGCAACAAAAAACCAAGCAAAGCAACCGTTCGCCTGGGCGCGTCTCCCTCGTCCGTTCGAACCGGTCGAAGCGGTCGAACCCGGTGCCCCGGTCCCGGCGGAGAACGGCGGGAGAACCGAAGGATTCGGATGGGCGCGTCGGTGAGAGTCGAAAGTCTGTTTCGGATGTTGATGGGTTCGGGGAGAGTCGTGACGTTAAGGGGCAAGACTAGACTAGACTAGTGGACGGTATATGCACGATGTAAATGGACGGTATATGCGGATCTCCAAGATCGATGGGATATCTGCGGCAAAGATTCAACCCCACAGGCTTTAAAGTCAAGATCAGTGAGAAGCGGCATGCCACTGTGCTGCGGCACCTGTCATTTGCAGCCCACAATCCAACTGGACTCTTACAACCGGAAACAGCCCGCTTGAGAGGGTTTTGGATTGCATCTCGGCTGCCTTGCCTCCATCCTATGGCAAGGACGCAGCTGTCGGAGTCGGTGGAGCAGCGACACATGGCTTGTGGTCCTTGGCCCATGTTTTTTTTTGCAATGTGCTCAAAACTTTAGCCGAGAACCTTTGTTGCCGCTGATGGATCCGCTTGCTTTGGCATGGTTTGCTGCAGAGGCTACCAAGGTAGCCGACAGGTTTCGCCTGCCGTTGGATGGGGTTGTCAGATCGCCTTCACAGCGACTTCTTCATGTCTTCTGCAAACCCTACGGAAGTGGCTGAGTCTGCCACTTAAGCTTAGCCGTGTCAAATTGGCCGGGCGGTTCAAGCCCTGCTGTTGGAGCCGGTTCAATCTAAAGAGGGCTCCGGAAGTCGGCAGGAGATGCCCCTCAACAGATGTGGCCGAGCTGCGTCGGAAAGAACGGTGTGTCTGTTACGTTTGCGTTCGCTTTCGCAAAAACCTTCGCGGAAAACAAGAGCAACACATGTTACCTCATCATGCACAGGCGGCGCGCGCATGATCGGAAACAACGTGCCTAGGTAAAGCAGTGGCTGTGACAGAACATGTGTGTTGACATTGTATGCCTCGTTTCGATGCAAGGGAAAGAATGGAACTTTCAGTTACATGAAACTTTAATGTTTGCCAAAGAGAGTGTGTCAGCTGTGAAAGTGCACCGGATAAGGGCCACCTATACGTGGACAACCCCACAACGGTGGATGATAAGGGCCACTTGGACAATGCATGCAACCGTGGATGATGAGCACCACCTACACTTGGACAGCCCGACAACATCCGACAACGGTGCATGACAAGGGCAACCTACACTTGCACAGCCGACCAGCCACTTGCGGCCTACTGCAAATGCATGAAGTCGGGGTGCGGGTCGCTGGTCCACTGGTGGTGCTCGAAACCAACGCAAAGCCATAGAAGATGCGTTAGCTGTCTCGTTTCTGAACAGGCGCCAGTTGCGTTGCGAAGCCTAACATTCCTTTTTATCCTTTTCTATTTTGACCTCTTTGGCAGAGATGTGCAGTGCAGGGGTCAAAAGCCTTGAAGCAGTCCCACATTAATCTCGTATATATTCGATGCTCCTTCCTTCCTTCCTTCCTTCCTTCCGAAACGAAGGCATTGACTCATTGTACGTCCTCCACCCTCCTGGATTGGGCTGGTAGTACTTGGTAGAGTACATGCGTGGAGGTAGACAGACAGGGAGCGCGTGAGCGGCTATATTTCCAGTTGGATGCTACAAAGCAGGAAAACTCGTTCATCAACACAATGTGTCGCTTACCTCCAGATTCAGGCCAGTTGCTTGACGCTTGTGGCCGCAGTCCCTCATATCGCGCCGAGGTACAAAAGCGTGAAGGCCCGGATTTTTGCCATCAGGCGAGAGCGAGCGGGCCATGGAAATGGGTGGAGGCCTAGGACGGAAAAGGTCGGACGGTGGTGAGTCCGTCCATCACGCTTCGGTGTTTCCACCATTCCTACCACTCAGGAAATGCTCAACTGAGAGGAGTGCTGGTGCAGGAAAGTTCATAATATTATATATATCCTAATTTACCCTATATATAATCAAATCCGACCACAGCAAGTTCACACATGCATTAAACACATGAGAGGTGAAACGTAAGAACCCAATCATGACTCAGCAAGCCGCTTGCGGATCGAACCGATGGCATGGACCCAAGATCATGCGTTTTTGAGTGCCAAACTTAAGGGCGGCTAACCCAATGAATCTTCTAGGGTATGGTCCTCAGAATCCTGTTCCTGTCGCTTGTCAAACTCCAAAAAACTAATATGGACCGGGTCAAATGGCACCCTGAAAGACTGTTTTCCTGTACAAACCAGTGGTTTTCAGGGTCCATGTTATTTATCCACGGGGTACTTTTTGTTCAGTGCCACACTTTGGGAGTCTCTTTGTGCTTCTAGGCGTGCTGCGAGCTTGGGCAAATCCTGGCCACTGATCCACAATCTCCGGTCAGCGCGTCAGAGGTGATTTGCAAACTTGGACACCGGATCAGCTTCCATTCTTTTTGGAATGGAACTTCAGACTGGTGTGAAACACGGGTTTCTTATGGCTTCCTGGCGGAGTGTCATATGGATGTTCTGGGTGAACGCGGTAATCTGCGTGAAGGCAGTGCATCGCCATGCGCTTTGCCCAGGTGTTTGCTGGTCCTGTTGCTCAGCCATCAATTTGATTTGCAGCTCGTCCGAGAGGAGGCCCGACTCCATCGAAAAGCAAGAGCTTACGAAACAACTCCCGCTTGGAATAAGCGAAGTTGGAGTGTCTTCAAACTGTACGTCAAGGTTTTGACTTGCATTCATGATTTTCATTACGAAAGCCAGCCTTCGTAGAAGGCGCTAGCGGAGTTGTGTCTGGCGAACGAAGTGAGTAGTTAGGGGGTCTGGGGGGGTGGCCCGAGAAAGGTATATGTCAACTCAGCACATGCTGGGGGAGGAGGGTGCTCCGAGGGAAGGTTTTTTGAGGTTGTGTTGGAGGTGATTTTTGAGGGGTGGTGATGCAAGAAATGCCAAACGCATCATTTGCATCATCTGAATCGAAAGGTGTAGTTGGCACCTTGCAAGGTAGAGAGACCTAGGGTAGCTATAGTGCAGCTACCAGGTATAGTACTTCAAGTTCCCTTTCCGTCAACCGCTTGAGAACCTCTACACACGCACAGCAATCCACAGCCTTGAAGTCTCATTCGTGCTTTGAACTTGTATAGGTGTGTAAGAGGTATAGCAACATACATACTATTTATACGGACCCAGGGTAGCTACAAGTAGCTACAGTTCTGGTATGGCGCGCATGAGGCTTCAAAGCTGTGGTTTTCAAGCTAAAGTCAAGGTGGCCTGAGACCAGGGTTTGCTGCCCTAAAACACTCTGTTCAGGCCACCTTGAAAATAAAGGTGTAGTTGGCACCTTGCCAGGTATAGACACCCAGGGTAGCTATGTAGCTGTAGCTGTGGTTTTCAAGCTAAATTCAAGGTGGCCTGAGACCACGGTTTGCTGCCCTAAAACACTCTGTTTAGGCCACCTTGAAAATAAAGGTGTAGTTGGCACCTTGCCAGGTATAGACACCCAGGGTAGCTATGTAGCTGTGGTTTTCAAGCTACTAGCACATTCAAGGTGGCCTGAGACCACGGTTTGCTGCCCTAAAACACTCTGTTCAGGCCACCTTGAAAATAAAGGTCTTGTAGCTACAATTCTGTTCCCAGGTATGGCGCGCATCAGGCTTCACAGACAGTGGAAATAGCTTCTTCCCGGCTTTGCACTGCGAATCAGACCCACAAAAGCGCTGGCTTTTGTTTTGCAGCTTCTCAGGTGATATGTACATGTTTTTTTGGTTTCTGTCCTCCGCTAGGATTGAAAGAATTCACCTCAGATATGTACCAAACACACCATGAAACCATTTGACAAGGCACTTGAAGCTCTGCTGTGTTATGTTCCCTAGTAGAGAACACGACTTTTTGAGTTTCACAACACTGGTAACAACGAAACACATCGAAACACCTTGAATCACTCCCAGCAATGCTCCGCATTGAACGCAGGCCCAGCCAGAACACGTGGGATGGGAATTGACGGTGCGGAGTCTCAGCGCTGGGGGAGACCGTCGTTTTTCTCTCTGGGCTTCAACATACAATTCAAAGTCTCGGCATCAATGGAAAATCTATGGTTTCAGCTCTATGTTGCTGTTCTGATTTGATTGGCTCCCTTTGAAACATTTGTGCAAGGAGTGCTGTAAACCAGGTCGCCCACTAGATTTGTGGCACTTTAAACTAGAAAGGTCAAACTCGTGGATTCAGGGTCCCTAATTAGAGTTGAGTATAAACCTCTCTCTCTCTCCCTCCCTCCCTCTCCCTCCCTCTCTCTCTCTCTCTTTCTTTGAAAGCCAGAGGTGGGATCCAACGGAGACTGTATTCCACCTACACGACCTCCCCCACGGTTTCAGATGTAGGAACAATATTAGTAACTATACTTCGCGACGCCGACGCCACATGGCCGCCATGGCGGCCGATGTTTTTCGACATGAGGCGCTCCTGCAAGTCCTTCGTGAGAGTTGGAGGACGACCGGTCATCGTCCGCCGTCGTTGGGTGACCCAAACAACCGCCTTTCTGAAAACACCCGCTCAGACTGGTGAGATTTCGTGGTAAGACTTCATTCGGCTTCGTTCGGGATCAACGTTCTGGGGTGGTGTAGATCACAGGTCTCCGCAGGTTGAAGCTTAGGGTACGTTTGACCTCTCATTTCTGCTGAGGTCCATTTATGCTCGCTATGCGAACGCATCATTTCGGGTCGAGTACAGTCGAAAGCGACGGACCTTTTAGAACGCAGTGAGAGATCCATAAAAAAGTGGTGGGCATTTGGTGGCTGGGTCTTCATTCGTCCGCGATGGCTTCATTGGCTCGATTTCTTTGATTCTTGGTTGTTGCTGCCGCGCAGGGGAGCTCGTACCTTTTGATGGGTACAGCAGCGTCAAGCCAGCGACAGTACTCCAGCCATAGCTTGGCTGCAGATCTGGCGCTTGGGGAATCTTCAGGACGCAGCTTTTTGTTGCCTTCGCGGATTCTCTCGAGTTAAGATTCCTATTGACCAGGTCTTGGCGCAGCGCCGGGGTCCGTTTTCATTTTCACGCGCTGGCGGCGCCAAAAACCATGCGTCGGGTCCTCGGTTGTGTCGTGGACAGGCTCTCTGTCTTCGCCCAGAAAGAGGCCTCGCGGGTTGAGCCTGCATTGGATCTACGCCGCAGAGGTGAAAGTTTGGGCAAGTACTGCTGGCGGGAACTTCGAAGAAGCGTTTGGTGGGTGCAAGACTTCGCTCCATGAGCCAAGCTTTGAGAACATGATGTTTGCTGGGCCCCTTTCTGCTACGACCATCAAGGTGCTGATGCGAGGCATGACACCTTGGGCGAAAGCGGCCGCCCTAGCTGGGCCCTGGGCCGCCAGGGCAGGAAGAGCACGCGGTCTTTAGACGAAAGGGGGCGTTGCTAGCTAAGGCATGTGATGCCGTCGTGGATGGTGATGGCCATGATGTGTTTGCATTCACCGAGAGTGGGCGTTTGCAAGAGGCTGGTGGAAGCTGGCGTTGCGGGCAGCAAGCTCGTGCTTAGCGATTTGCAGTGGGGATCTAGGGCCAGCTAAAGCAAGGGAACATGTGCTTGGCAGTGGTCCCTCATGTGGAGGGGACATGCAGATTGCGACGAAGCTAGGTCTGTAGTAGACAAGTTCTTCGAGATGGCAGTGCCAGCCCACGATCCAACCACAACTGCGGGGGTCTTCGAGCAAGTGTGCAGCGGCAGCTACGTTGCAAGGCTTGCTGCCCAAGCTTGCTACTTGCAAGGCCATAAGTTTGAAAGGCTTGTTAGGCGCTTGGAAAGGGCTCAGCTTTGCTCACGCGTGGCAAAGAACGCCTGTGGCACGCAAGCTGTAGCAAGCCTCGCAAGTACATAAGGTTGGGGAGTGCTTTGGGTTGAGCGGCGCAGAGGTCAAAAGTGTTCTGGTCGCTGCTGCTCAAGCCATGGAAGGGCTGTAGGCAAGTGACAAGTGACGCGGTGATTCGGTTGCGTGTGCAGCCCTAAAGCAAACTTTTGATCTATATAGTCTCTTTGATACCTGGGAAGACCTCTCTAGGTTTTAGACATTTTGAGCCATTCATTGAAAAGACGGTCAATTCAATAATCAGAGTTGTGGTTTTGAATTCCCCGCACATCTTGTTGAACAATCAAATCGAGGAAGTCCGTCGGAAGTCCTAGGTTCGTCAACAGAGCCTTGGTTCCAAGCGAGTTGGCTTGCGGGGAACCCGCCAAACACAACCCTGGATGCACTGCACATCTATGATACTTGTACCTGCTAAATAGAAGCACCACGACATCAACCAAAACAGTTTGCATGCAAGAATGTGAACACCACAGGTGTTCGATGAGTTTGTAGATGGCATTGACTTCCAATCTTTGACCTTGCATGACCTTGCTAGTTTTGCTAGCCTTGCCCAAGTTCTATGAAGGATGAAGCAATACACGCCCCCAGCCACCTGCCAACTCATGCTGTTGACTGATGAATCACAACAAACCTATCGTCTACAGGACCGCTTTACACCTACCTAGGCCGGCCAAGTTACCGTCCCGCCAGCCAGCCGTGTTTCGTGGCTCCAGGAGGGGTGCCAGTGGTACTGAAGGGGTGGACTCCGGCCCAGACTTCGGTGCGGAGCTGGAAGAGGCTCCCAGGGCCATCGAGCGAGTCGGGTGGGTGTGACCAGGGGGAGCCTTCATTCAGGAACTGCTGGGCAGCGGAGCTCCGAAGACGGCGTAAGAGTTCAAAAGGTTCCGCAGCGTCCTTTCAAAGGTCAGTTTGTGTGTGTGTACCCTCTGGAGTCACGAGGTTCCTTTTGGATTGTATTTTAGTTTGTATTTTTGCAGGGGGACACAGCACCAGATTGCAGACCGTGTCTAACAAAACTATGCAATCTGGTGGGATATCCAGCTTGGCCAGCTGGACGTACCTGCAACAATTTTTAAGATTTCGTAAAGGTCTAATGAGCTCGGCAGTCATGAGCGGACGTCGTCATCCTGTCGTCTCGATCTCGCCTTGCGCTTTTGGACCTCTCTCCTTTTGAAGACCTCTAGGCTTCTGGTGGTTCTTACTTGTACCCTTAGGAAATGGTTACTTAGGCCGGCGTGTGGCAACCGCTTTCAAGTCAGTACGCATAATCTTGAGTGTGTGTGGGTGTTTTTTTGAGGTCCTGTGTTCGTGATGTTCATGATTGACACAGAAGCTCCATTCTCAGTTCCCTGGTATCCTTCTAATGTTGGAGCAATGTGCCTCGCTCAGCCTCCCCTTTTCGTGCCGGGGATTCGCTTATGATAGACATGTCTGATCGCATCAGAGAGCTCATGGGATGTGGGCCCACGTTAACCCTGAAGTGTTCTTCTTCGAGGAATTTGCTTGTCAATCGAGGATGTTCGCAAGAACTCTTAGATGACGACCACGCAGGTGTTTCTTCTGCTGGCACCACAAAAAAGATCCTTTTTGCTCGACGTCCATGCAAGGATGACGTCCACGAAACCGCTTCCAACCAGCAGAAATGGTCTGGGGTTTGATTCTGGCTTTGTTTGATTTCGATCCCCAGCCGCGCTTCCGGACGACCCGAGGGGCCGAGGGGTCGCAGAACCCGCCAGGTGGGCGAGCGGTCCGAGCTGCGGGACGACGCTGGGGACCGGTCGGGGTCGGGAGCGCGTCCGGTGAGCGGCAAGGAACGGGCGGTGTATTCCGTGAGTTTCACCGTGGGCCAAAATTCGGCTCAAGATTGACGAGCTTCGGGTGGTCAAGTCATAGAGTTCGGTTGGGGTCAATCCGGTGTATATAGACGAGTCATAGAGAATCATGATATAAATCTCATCCAGATGAGGTTGCAGCACTGAGAACCCCCCTTTGGTTGCATATTGGTTCCACAAGCACGTTTGCATGGTTTACTTCGACTGTTCTAAGATGATGGATGTGCCACCAGTCTCATGTGACACCACCAGGCACGACACAGCCAGGCATGTGCATATGCTTTGTACAGACTCACGTGGATTTTCCACCGAACTCTCCACAAGGAGGGTTCAAAAGGCTTTCCGTCCAACGAAATAGTCCAGAGACGATTCGGTTTGCACCTGCACAGCCAAGCACTTGGCGAACTGGTCAAGCGTACAAGCACTTGGCGAAGCATCCATTTTTCGTCGCTACCGATGGCAAAAGCACTTGGCATTGCTACAGTCTGTGCAGGCCTATGGCCTATGACCTCATCTGATTCACAGCAGCCGAGTGGCTCAAGCTTTCAAGACTGGGCATCGTCAAGATGGGTTCGCAATGAGTTCCCCAGGCCCTCGTATGAGTCCATATTGACGCACGTTTGTATCTATTGGATACTCTTTTTTCTGACCCTGCCCCCTAGTCGGCCAAGCCTGAGGACTGAACTGGAGGCAGAGACTCAAATCTTTTCCTGCACAAAAAGACCCTACAAGACGTGTGCCTTGGACTTCAGGTGTCTGTGCACCAGAATTATCGCGCATCTGAGCACCCAGAAACACCGGTGACATTGTCCAGGCACGCATCACAAAATTGCAGAACATCTTTGAAGAAATGAGCACACCTTGTATGAGAGCATCTGATGACCCAATGGCTTCGCTGGTTTTTGAGCTTGAGAGATGAAGGTCTCACGAGTTGAACAACGCATTCAAAGGCACAACAGTGTCGGACATAGTTGCACTGTTGAGGGAGACATGGCAGATATGATAAGACTCTGATTAGACCCTGTTTCTTATTTCTTTGTATACTTGAAGAGGAGCTGATTCGGGATTGGTGCGTTTGGGAGATCTGAATGTCCACGATCAAAGGGCTTCGGTTCCAAGAATCCAATCGAAGCGAGAGATGCAGCTGCGCCAGCGGGCGGCGCTCGCAGCTGCGCAAAAAACAGCGAGCAGCTGATCCACGGCACGTGGGGGAGCTTCCCTTGATGGGCCTTGCACGATGGTGTGGCTTCTCTCGGTGTGGCGGCCTTGCATGCTGGGCCTGGTGCGGGACTTAGGCGTTGGGAAGACTCACTCCTGGCTTTGAATGGGGAAGAACAAGATCAACTACGGGAGGGTGGAATGTAGTGGTTACGAATTGATATGTTATGACAAGGAGACATCTCGCAAACTCTCGAAAGACATAGGAATTCATATAAGAGACACTTCTGGACTGTCTCTCGACAGACTGTTTGGAACCTTGGAGCACTGAGGTGGTCTACAAAGCAGCATCGAAAGAACTCAAGTGCCGCTATTGCCTTGCAGTTGTTTGATTAGAACATGACCCACGACTGGTGGGTGACTCATGAACGATGTGGACCTCGAAACCCTGCTGAGTCACGGTGTTTCGGGCGGCTTTTAAAGGTTTCTCAGTTGGACCGTCAGACCCAGATCCATGGCCTATGCAGTTGGACCCAGATCCATGGCCTCTTGAGTTGGACGAAGTTGAAGGCCCAAGAGTTAAGCCAAGGAACTTAATATCAGATGATTCATCGAAGACTCCTGAACGTCGTGGCCGAAATTCCAGGAACTCGACGATCACCCCGGGGGTTTCTATAGATAGGATCGAAGACACAGAAACGCTTGGGGTTTTCTTTGAATTCCAATTCTCAGGAAAGGCTCTTTCTATCTCTTTCTTCCACTTTGGTGCTTTCCAGCGGTGCCGTGACTCGCCCGCCACCGACACTCCCTTGGCTCCAAGTGCGACCGGTGGTGCTGAAGTCCGTCCAAAGAGAAGGCCAAGCTAAATCAGACTGCCAAGCTCCTAAATCAGTGCCACATTTGATGCAACAAGTTGAGGCGGAAGGGGTGAGCCCAAGTTGAGTCAGCAGCCATTCTTCTAGGAAGGTGGATTTGCGCTCGGTATGGCGGCTGCCTCTTCGAGCTGCTCATGCTTTTGCCAGGCGAGGAGCTGTTTCCGACGCCGCCAGGAGGAAAGCTGGTACACTTTGGGCTTTCTTTGCTTCGTTGTGTGGACCACAGTTGCCTTTCGGCCTTGAGGTGAAAGGCCAGATTGCTGAACAATATGAATGGATCTCGTACCCCGATGCACACATACGCCTGAGAGTAAACAGTGAAGACGATGTGAAGACAGACCATCAGGATCCATCAGGCACGCAAAGAGAGACAGCCACCCCCTCAACTACCTAACTAAAAGCCTGGCCTGACTGGAACCAATCATATCAGTGGCAAATGCGGCAGCTATGGCAGAAAGTCCCAGGTGCCAAGATGCCTCTCCAAAGATACCAGCATTCCTGGTCTTTTTTGCGTTTCATCCGCACGTCCCGTTGCGGCGAAGTGCAAGCAGCATCAACTGAACCATACTACTGTCTAGGACCCTACCAAGGTGTCCTATCAAAATACGAAAACAACCCATGTTGTCCAACTCTTGGTGGTAAATTCTGTGCACCGGCCTGGGGGCGGACCTGGTGGACTGCTGAGCCTGCTGTACTCCACGGAGTCCGCGGGCGTTCGACCTGGTATCTGAGCGGATTGAGACGATGAGACCTTTGAAAACAAATGGTTCTGGTCCTGGATGACCCTTTCGTCTTCAGATCTTCCTTCCGCCATCCGAACTCGAACGGCTACTGTGGCCGGCCAATCCTTATACAAGTCATCACTAAGGAAGACTGAGCCAAGAGTCTTGACGGGGGTATAAGGGGGTATAAGTCCATCTCAGCAACCGTTCGATCTTTTCTTTTTCGGCTTGGCACACCGGAAGTGGGTGGACACCAAAGATGGACCGTCAACTGCACCATGCGGACACCGTGCGGCCGCGCAGATCCTGGATGTTTCCTCATGACTGTTGGAACGATCCTTGGATTGATGAAAGGAGTGTCTCGAAGAAACAGCTCAAGTGGTTGCGGAAAGGGCAGCAGATGGCCACCAGACGCTTTGAAGCTAAAGAGATTCTTTTTGGAACAACCATCCAACAATCGGTTCTCATTTGGCCGTGCGAATCGGCTCGAGCTCTTTGGTCCGCCCCTCCTGTCCTGTCCGTGCACGGTAGGAGAGAGGGATCCCTGGGCTTGCGCGAAGACCATGCTTGTGTGTCTATTGGTCCACTTGTTTTGCAGAAGCGCTACTGTCCAGTAAGATCCTTTTCATTCTCACCAGCTGATTGCTCATCAGCAGAATCCCTACAACAATCCCCATGTGTTGTTGGGAAACAAGTTTGGGCCATCCTCATGTGTATCACTCAAGAATAGGTGCCCGCCGGACAGTGCCCTCCAAAGCCATGCATCTTCCTTCGGACTCCTTCTCTCGGAGCAGTTTCGTTCGGACTCTCACTTATATTATAAGTTTAGGTCATGTAACGTGTTTGAATGCATTTTCATCGCTGCCGATGTGCCTTGGGTATCCTTGGAGAGGCGCTTCCCTCTCCGGACATCCACCGAGACCTTGGTCGGTTCGCACCGAGACAAGCGAAGCGTCCGAGGAGATGGCAACAAGCACCTGCTCCTTAAAGTCCATCTCTCAGTGGAAGAGTCGGTGGAAGATGAAGAGCACCTGCTCCTTTCGATGTTTCGTGGGTTTGAGCGGAGAAAATTGGATCAAAAGCTTCCAGGATCTTCTTGCAGTAAGAGCACTTCTCACTTCTCTTCTTTTTTTCCGGGCAGGCATACGTCATGCGTTTGTGTTGGGCAGCGAATCAACGATGCGGCTTGAAGCACACATAACCAGCTGCTGCGGCTTCTGGCACGCGTATTCCTTCCAGAGAACAGGTGCTCAGGGCACGCATCCGCGAAGGGATCCCATGCCCAGATACTGACGACAGGGTTCTGTCCGGATCTTTCGATGACTGACAGGGTAGGGGAGTCCCATGAGATCCGCAAATCGAGACCTGAGGCCTTGTCTTGGCTGCTGCGAAGGCCCGGCCAGCCACGCCGCGCAGGGAGGAAGAAGCCGCGCGCGCGCGCGGCGCGCGCGTCTGGCCGCCGTGAGGCGCAGGGTGCTGTTTTTGGAGGGCGAACCAAAGATGCCAAAGACCCAGGGACCTGACCCTTGTTTTCCACGGAGGTGTTCCGCTGTGGTGACATCGTCACTCACGGCAATTCTCAAAGTATTGAGCCATGGCCATCTTTGTGATCGTTAAGTTCCACCTCCTCAGACACTTGGACATCAGGTGACCCATCTCCGGTCTGCTCGGACCACCGGCCGCACGGATGAGCGGCCAAGACATGGGTGAAAGACATGCTGAGTGAAGCTTGAAAAAGGACATTTGGAGTGTGGGCGGCTGCTATGCGAGGAATTCACCCAATCTTCTTTTTTTCCCCTGTGCCCTTTCAAAAAAAATAACACAGTCTTTTGATCTTCGGAACATCTTGGGGACAGGAAGATGCAACTGTAGAATCGCTCCAGCCCGAACCCGTTTTGTGATGTTTTGTGCCTTTTTTGGAAGCGCACACCCTGGAAACACCCACAGGTCATGACTCCGAAGAAAGGCGCAGCGATGTTCCTCCGCGCGAGGTTTTCGCTCTTCCTGTTCTTCTATTTTTTTCCGACTGACTTCCCCTGAAGAATGGACGTCACCATTGTTTATCGATCATATGATTGGAGACTATATACCTTTTGAACATCTCAGTCGGCCAAGGCCGACTTTCGGGCTGAGAAATGGTGTTGCAGCGACCAAGGTTGACAAATAAGGCCCCCCCCCGCCACGTGTACAGACAGGAAGCAACATAAACCGTAACTCCAAAACGGTAGAGGAGATGGATATAGATGTATCGGATCCTTTTTGCAACCGCCACGGGCTGATT